GCAGATTCTAGCGAAAAATGAGGAAAGTTTGAATAAATCAGGCATGTTTAGCTTTGAAAAGATGATAGTAAGGACCAGATGACATATTTCCAGTAACCCAAGGGACTATGAAACAATAAGTTGCAGGACTAGATCGTGAATGCTAGGAGGGTGGTTTTTGAGTGAATGTTAAGAAAAACATCATGACAGAGCAATTTTATGAACTCATTTGATGTAATGGCAGATTTTCCCGGATTGAAAGTCTAACAGAGATGGAGGGGACCTAAAAGGCCATCTAGTCCTGCCTCCTGCTCAAGTTATAAAATATCCCCAGCAAAAAGCTGTTCATCTTCTTTTCAAAGATGTTCGGAGAACACAACCCCATCACCACTTTAGGCAATTGATTTTCATTGTCAAATCATACTGTCAAAAAAATTCCTTCTGTTCAATTGAAATTAATCAAACCATTGGTCCTGGGGCTGCAAGAAATAGGCCTGCCCTCTCTTTTCAGTGACAGCCCTTAAGGTATTTAAAGAGGGCAATCATGTCACCTGTCTACTTTTCACCCGGCTGAACAAGCCTAGTTCCTTCCATTTTTCCTCATGTTTTGTTCGCCATACTTCTCACAATCCTTGATCCTTTCATGCTATCCTGTCTGTATCCTTACAATGAGGTACCCAGAATTCACAATACTCCAAGTGAGTCCTAACCAGCACAGAATATAATGGGTCTATAACTTCTGTCATCTTCGAAACTATGCTTTTATTAATGCAGGCTAAGGAATGGTACTTGTTTTCATGGCTATAGCATCATACTGGTGGTAGATCTTCAGTTTATGATCATCGATAATCTCAAGGCCCTTTTCATTGTAGTTCTACTGAGCCATGTTTCTTCCATCCTGTACTTGTGCATTTGGCTTTTGTGGCATAAACATAGAACGTTGCATTTGTTTCTGTTGAATTTTATTCTATTAAATGCTAGTGCTATATTTTATCTAGGTACTTTTAAATTATATTCCTATGTTTTAGCCACCCTTCCCAGTTTTCTGTCATCTAAAGGGGCATCTAAACTGTAGAATGAATCCAATTCGACACCACTTTAACTGCTATAGTTTAATGCTATGGAATCCTAGGTGATGTAATGTGGCAAGATATCAGCACTCTGGGAATGAAGATGAAAGAGCTTACAAAACTATATCTCCCATGGTTCCATAATACTGAGCCATAGCAGTTAAAAGTGGTGTTAAACTGCATTAACTCAACAATGCAGATGCACCCATAGTCATTTATAAAAAAGTTGAAGGGCAAAGACCCAAGGATCGAGACCTTTGCTAAAATCCAGATTTGGAGCATACAAGTCATTCCCTCAATCTACTAAACTTGTGACCTGATAGAAAAAAAGATGTAAGATTAGTTTTGCAGGATTTGTTCTTGACAAATGGAATTGGTTCCTACTGATCCCTGCATTGTCATGAAGATACTTGCAGAACAGATTAACTATTTGTTCATTTTTTCCCCTTGTATTGAAGTTAGGCTGACTAGTTTCCTGGATACAGTAGCGTCTCGCTAATGCAACAAACGGACCGGCAGAATGTTGAATAAGCGAAAATGTTGGATAATGAAAGATTAAGGAAAAGCCTATTAAATATCAATCAGATTTTCCAAATTAATCATCAAAATATCATGTTTTACAACAGATTGACAGAAAAAGCAGTTCAATACACTGCAACATTATGTAGTAATTACTGTATTTACGAATTTAGCACCAAAACATCGCAATGCATTGAAACAGCTGTGGATCTGGGCAGACTGCATTGGGTTATACAGAACGTTGGATGAGCGAAGGTTGGATAAGCAAGACTCTACTGTATTTCTCTTTTGAAGAAAGGGATAATGTTCCTTTAAACTTCCTTCCACAACAGCTCTATCATTCCCATGAAACTTAGTAGCATCAATCCAGTTGGTCCAGAACTGCTTCCAGGTGAGGTAGAGCTCACAGCTACAATAAAGTTATCTCATAAATGGATTTGTAACCAAGCCCACCAGATGTATTGCGCTTCTGAGGGCAGTGGACCCTCACCAAAAAATCACAAATCAGAGGCAAGCACATCTGGGGAAATAGTTAACACAGCATTTATAAGGAAGCCTTTATTATAAATACTTTATGTAACATTTCCAAGTGTTCAAAGCATTCCATGTACATTATCTTGATGTTATCCATACAATAATTCCATGGGGTTTGTTTCTATCCACAACAGTTTTCAAAGCAGCAAGACAGTGGAGCAACTTACCCAGGGTGCATCTCTAGTGAAGGATTAATGCAGTTGGACACCAACTTAACTGCCATGGCTCAATACTACAGAACTGCAGGAGCTGTAGTTTTAGAAAGCCTTCCACCTTCTCTGCCAAAGAGTGCTGGGATATATAGGATTGACCAAAAGTCACAAAAAGGTCTCAATATAAAGAAATAAATGCATGTAAATGGTGTTCAATATCTTAGCATCATATACAGTATACTCGTGTGTGTGTGTGTGTATACATACACACACACAGGAACCATTTGTGACTTTTGGCCCACTATATGTATGTGTGAGCATTGATACACATATGGTATATACATATAGTGTAGGGCAAGTTGAAAATATTCCATATCCCTAAATTAAGTATCCTAGGAATATATCCCAAACTCCAAAATTTTGTTAAGGTTAAGTCCAAACTCAGCTTTCTCAGTTCAATTAATGAAGAGCCCTGTTGTGACTTTAAGGTTAATGATTATTAAGTATTGTCGAATGTATTGTCGAATTATTAAGTACATTGACTACAATCTACTTCTTCAGGTGTATGGAGTATAATCATGGAAGTGGGCCAAAAATAATTAGGTCACGCCAAAAATAATTTACTTTTAAAGATGCCAAAAGGCTCTTTCTTTAGCTGTAACAGATTCATATGGCAAACCTTTTGAATTTTTTTGCTCAGCTGGGTGGATAAAAACCCCAAATCTTAGCATTAATAACCACCAAGACATAAAAGGTCTATCCTCTGCTGAATTAAGAAAAGCTGCAAAGTGTTTACTTCACCTGTTTCCAGTGTAACCCTACATTCAGAAAAGTGACGCTTGTTAATACTTATTTTTGGAGCGCACATTGTAGACTCTCCTGAAACACTGGACAATTATTAGTCCCTTACATCATGAAGCAAAACAAAACATTAGTTCCTCACATCACAAAACAAAACAAAAAAAACCTTCCCCAAACTGTCGTGAGAAACATTAAAATTGCCTAATTTTTATAATTCCCATAAAATGTTTTTGCTTGCCTAAGGCCACCTGGGAACCAAAATATTGATAGAAAAGGAATTTGATCCAGAAACCTTTTACGATTAATGCAGTTTGATACCTTTTTAGGTTCAATGGTATGGGATCGTGGGATTTGTAGTTTGCTCCCAGCCCTCTTTGACAGAAAAGTCCTTGCAGAGTTACAGCTCCCATCATTCTATATTACCAAGTCATGGCTGTACAGGTGATATCAAACTTTACTAATTCTACAGTATGGATCGAGCATGGGCAAACTTCAGCCCTCCAGATGTTTTGGACTTCAACTCCCACAATTCCTAACAGCCTACCAGCTAACAATCTAACAGCTGGTAGGGTGTTAGGAATTGTGGGAGTTGAAGCCCAAAACACCCGGAGGGCCGAAGTTTGCCCATGCCTGGTGTAGATGCACCCCTTACACATATAGGGTTTTTTCAAAAAGACCTATTTAACCCTTTTATAGTCTAATTTTGTAGGATTATTTCTGCCTTCCTCCTCCTTAGAGATAGACCTCCTTTATGATAAAAAAAGCATTTTATTGCTGAGTCTAGCCTGTCTCAAGGTACCCCCTTGCCCTATAATTTTAAGGGCTGTATGAGAAGCAGAAATTCAACAGGTTAAATGTATTATCTCAAAACAGTTAAACTCTTAAAGCGGTGTTGAATCTTTCATTGTTTAACTGTTTTGAGATAATACATTTAACCTGTTGAATTTCTGCTTCTCATACAGCCCTTAAAATTATAGGGCAAGGAGGTACCTTTCTTATGAGAATTAAAACTGATTTCTCTTTCCACTTTTTTATTTTTTGGGGAGACAAAGGTAACATTTATGTGTGAGAAAGTCGCCAGTGTGATGTCTCTACACTACTTTTCTACCCTTATGTGTGAGAAGGAAACAAAGGATTTATTATAGCCTTTCCCTTTATAATCCTTGTATACAAGCTGGTGGTGCAGCAGGTTAAACTGCTGAGCTGCTGACTGAAAGGTTGGCAGTCTGAATTTGGGGAGTGGTGTGAGCTCCCGCTGTTAGCCTCAACTTCTGCCAACCTGGCATGCATGTTTTTGAACTGCTAGGTTGGCAGAAGCTGGGGCTAACACCAGGAGATCACACCACTCCCCAAATTCAAACTTGCGAACCCGCACCTGAGTTCTGCAATGTCTGTACTCAAAGCAACATTCTGGAAACATCATAACGCTAGCAGCATTGGGTCCCAGCTATTGTACTATCACCAATATTACAGTATAGTGGTATGATACAATATAGTAATATATAATACTAATATTGTGCTATGCTAACAATATAATATCTTGTATGTACATATAACTTGTAAGCCGCTGAGTCCGCTTTGGATTCAGAAGGGCAGCATATAAATGTTATAAATAAATAAATACATAAATAATAAAACATCTGGGGACCCACAGATTGAGAACTATTGTATTGCATTGATTCATGGCTGCAAAAAAGTCACTGGATTAATCCTACACTAGTGTAAATACGGCCTTGCTTCAACTGAGGGTTAGGCCCACCTTCCCCTCATTATCTCAACAGCCTTCTCTGCTCCAGCTGAGTTTCTAATCTGGGGGGTGGGGCGCGAGATGTCACGTGACCCGACGACAGCCAATCGCCTCCCTTTTTTTGAACGCTAGCAAAAAGAGTGTGAGGGGAAAAAAAGGGCCTACCGTAGCCGTAGAAACGCATTCAAGGGTAGCCAATCGGGAGCGATCGAATCCGGCCAGGCAGCCAATGAGAGCAGCCGGAGCGAATTTTAAACTGGCGGTGAGAGCCATCGGACACTCGTGCATCAAACGGAGGCAGGAAGGCCGGCGGGCGGTTGTGAGAAGCTAGTGCTGCAGGAAGCGAAAGCCGGAGCCATGGCGTTGCGGGTCACTCGGGTAGGAAGAGCGACCTACACGCAGAGTTAACGGGGGGAAAGATTGCCTCGCCATCTCTCCTTGTTTGGGCTGCAATTATATTATGAATTATTGCTATAACCATATTTATATTCGTTTATAGTCCTCTGGCTCGCTCTTAACTTCTTCCTCCAACGTTGTATATAGGTTTTAACTCCTGAGTAAAGTTGGTGAACTTAGGCTGCTTCTACATGGTAGAATTAATGCAGTTTGATACCGCTTTAACTGGCTCAATGGTATGGCGTCCTGGGAGTTGCAATTTGGGCAGGCACTAGCCCTCTTTGGTCAAGAGGGATAGAGAGAGCTTGCAAAACTACAATTTCAAGGAGGCTGTAGCAGTTAAAGCGGTATCAAACTGCATTCATTCCAAAGTGTGGACGCAGCATATCTTCCAGATATGTTTATATCACCCAACAGGCTCTCTTAAGCCAAAAAGCTTTGGGAAGGAAGTCTTTCCTATTTCTCAGCTTTAACTTTCAGCCATGACAGTTAAAGCGGTATCAAACTGCATTCATTCCAAAGTGTGGACGCAGCATATCCTTCAGATATGTTTATATCACCTAACGGTCTCTCTTATGCCAAAAAGCTTTGGGAAGGAAGTATTTCCTATTTCTCAGCTTCAACTTTCAGCCATGACAGTTAAAGCGGTATCAAACTGTATTCAAAGTGTGGACGCAGCATGAGGCATGCCCTCTTTCAAATATGTTTATATTACCTCTCTTTAAGCCAAAAAAAAGGAAGGAACAAAGAGCTTTATTTCTCAGTCGTGTGGTGCTAAGCACAAAGCTTAGTGAATTCCTATGGTAGGATTTTTAAGGACTTACATACTCAATTTCCATATCTTGCCTGCTTCTCATTGACTTATCTTTCTAAATCCTGCTCGCCAGGTGTTTGTAATATCCTAGGCTTGTGTACATTTTCCTTCTTAAAGGGCTAGTGCTTCACCAAATAGGAACCCTACTTGGCATAGACAAGAATAGGCCTGGGTACACTTGGGCCTTCCTCCAGGTGTTTTGGATTTGGAGTCCAAAACACCTGGAGGAAGGCCCAAGTGTACCCAGGCCTGGACTACAAAGTATATAATACTTGCTCACACTCCTACTGATTTATAGACATTGCAATGAAATCATAATAAATTGCATTCCTTATAAATGTGGGGCACAACACAGTTAAAGCACCTGCATAAAATACAAAGAATACATTGCATATATTGCATTAATTACACAATTCAATAAATTGAATATATACATTACTATAATATGTATAAATTAAAATGCACTGCTTTCTGCCAAAAAATTTTTTTCTTGTGCCTTACCTATCACTTATAATTGGGTATGTTGTACATGAACTCCCCAGTCTTTCAACCTCTACCCAGTTTCCCAGACTGGTCTCTAAAGAAAAAAAAAGTAATTGCCTTGGTTTCCAACAGGCCTCATAACCTCTAAGTATGCCTGCCATAGATGTAGGTGAAATGTCAAGATAGAATGCTTCTGTAACATAGCCAACAGCCTGGAAAACACAGCAATCCAGTGTGGTATCATGTTTTGAAGGTGGAACTAGGATTCTGGAGAGCGGAGTTTGTACCCGCACTTAGGTGATCTTGAGCAGATTACACTCTCTCAGCCTTAGAAAAGAACAAAGACAGCTGCCCCTTTAAGAGAGCTCAAATGCACAGCAGCCTAGTGTGGTATGGTGTTTTGAAGGTCACTTTGAGTAGCCTAAGGGCTGAGAAAAGCGGTATATAAATGAAGTAAATAAATAATAAATAAGGTGGAACTAGGATTCTGGAGAACAGTTTGCACCTGCATTTAGGTGACCTTGAACAGATCACACTCTCAGCCTCAGAAGAAAACTATGACAACTGCCCCTTTAAGAGAGCTCAAACTCACAGCAACCCAGTGTGGTATCATGTTTTGAAGGTGGAACTAGGATTCTGGAGAACAGAGTTTGCACCTCCACTTAGGTGGCATTGAGCAGATCACTTTCTCTCAGCCTCAGAGAAGAACAAAAACTACCGCCCCTTTAAGAGAGCTCCATCATAACTCAGAAAGGACTTAGAGGACAGAACAGCAAAAACTCTGTAGAGGAGATACAGGACTAATGGGCGAGGGAAGGAGGTGAGGAGGGTGTTGGGTACATAGCAGGAATTTTAAAGCTCACTCCTTTCCTCCTCTGATTCTGTTGTTATCCTCAAGGCAAACCCTTCTGTAAAACTTGTATGACCTAAATGTTCCTCTCTTTCTTACAGAACACAAAAGTCAACCTGGAGAACAAAACCAAGCCCGGAATGGCAGCCACCAAGCAGGTGATCGGGATTGCCAAGCCCACCTTGAGGTCTAGGACTGCCTTGGGAGACATTGGCAACAAGGCCTGCGAAGCAAAGCCCAGGGATGCTGCCAAAAAGGTAAAAATCATCTCTTCTTGTCCGTCATCCAGCAAAAGCCATGGTTTTCAAAACAACAGAGTTGTTGCACTGACTTCTTTCCTTTTCTCCTCCACCACTAAAATAGGAAACACTAAATCCTGCAGTTGTGGAGAAAGTTACCATTCGAAAAACCACAAGACCAGTTGAAAAGACAGTTCTGCCCGTAAAGGAAGAAAAGCCAGTCCCAGAACCTGTTCAGGTATCCAAAGGTTTTCATAGCAGTATGTGGCAGAGTATGGAAGATGCAATTTACCTTAAGGATGATACTTGAAGTGTGGCGTATATGATCTTCATTCCATCCTCCCATCTTATTGCAATCCTACAAGATGTGTGTGTAATTGGCTTAGTTTCATAAACCCATCCAGTGAGTCTCCTGCATTGATGAGGATTAAAGCTTGTGTTCACATCTCCCAAATCCCATTACAGGTTGAGCATTTGAAATTGCAAAATTGCCCAAAATCTGAAATTGTCCCTGTGGTTGTGATATTTAAAAAATAAAAATAAAAAATTGCATCAAATTTCCTTTTATTCAAGGCATAATTGATTTCAGTGTTTATTCTTCAGGCCTGTCTCCCAAGATAAGTATATATATGGAGGTACAAGTCTTACAAAATTTGAAAAACAAAATACTTCTGGTCCCAAACGTTTTGAATAAGGGAAACTCAACCTGTACAATCCTTTAAGCATAGTGGTGTATCTAATATTCCCTTTGAGGATAACTCTGCTACTTCTGGTGGTCAAAGGCAGATAATATAATTGTAGTTTAGTTAATGATTACTCCAACTTTTAGAAATGTGTATTCTAAGTACTAAAGGCGTATGATCAGTTTTAGGACAACCCAGAGAATTTTAACATTTTTAATATTTATTTTTTTCTAGGCATGGTCAGGTAGATCCTATTGTTATGACCATGTTAAATGGTCTGTATTGCTTTCTTTAGGGATTCTGGAAACTTGAATCTCGGAAAAAGAACTATAGTGGAGGAAACAGAAGCCAGCATAGTCTGGGAGCACAGCACACACATTTTACTGTTTGTTTTTTTTCTTTGTCCTCTTTAGGCCATTTTAGGGGCCCTTCTCACAGCCATATAACCCAGAATATCAAGGCAGGAAATCCCACTTTATCTGCTTTGTACTGGAATATATGGCAGCGTGGACTCTGATAACCCAGTTCAAAGCAGATATTGTGGGATTTCCTGCCTTGATATTCTGGGATATAGAGTGTGGAAAGGCTCTGGGTCCAAGATTCTTCTGCTTGTTTTCTGAATAGCATTCCTTTTTAAACAGGATGTTTTAATTAGAAACCAAATTCTCTTAAAAAAAATGTAGGGAGATGCTTTTCCTACCCAGAAAAAGCCTTGAAGAAGCCAAAAACATGCAAGAATTGCCTCCTGTCCTCTCAAGGCTTGTTGGAGGGAATTTGACAAGGGGAAGATGCTGATTGCATTTGAGAACAACCTTTTGTTTCTGTTGTAATAAGCATCTTCAAAATTGAGGTGCACATTACAATCAGTGGTGCATGATGCTTGAGAAAATGTTGATATTCCTTGGTGTATGTTTTCAGAGGGAAATTGGCAACTTGGGTGACAGCAGCACATACTCACTGCTTGTAGAATGTGAAAATTTGGTGTGGTGATCCTGAATTACAGGTCTCGAGGCTCTCATCTTCTGGTCGAGTTGATAAACATCACTTTGCCCTTTAAATGAGTGCGTGATGATGGCTGCATCCGATATCACTGCCATTTTGAAAATATGCACATTTCCCTCTGGCTGCCATTTTGAGATGTTGCTCAAAAATTAAAATGGCAAAATTTGCCTTTTTGATCACAAAATAGTGGCAGTGCCTCTACCGAATTTAAAACATCCTTAACAAAGGCCAGTGGTTTTAGTTAACATAACCTTTAATACCTGTGTGGCGACAGATGTTGTGGCATAACATTGCCTTGTGGTGTAGCACTTTACTGGGATTGCAATTATACTGCTTGCCAATTATTGCTGTTGTAGCTTGAACATAACTGAATGTATTTCACACAGTACCCCGAAATCCTACATGTGCCATGTTGTTGTTGTTCATTCGTTCAGTCGTCTCCGACTCTTCGTGACCTCATGGACCAGCCCACGCCAGAGCTCCCTGTCGGCCGTCACCATCCCCAGCTCCTTCAAGGTCAGTCCAGTCACTTCAAGGATGCTATCCATCCATCTTGCACTTGGTCGGCCCCTCTTCCTTTTGCCTTCCGCTTTCCCCAGCATAATTGTCTTCTCTAGGCTTTGCTGTCTCCTCATGATGTGGCCAAAGTACTTCAACTTTGTCTCTAGTATCCTTCCCTCCAATGAGCAGTCGAGCTTTATTTCCTGGAGGATGGACTAGTTGGGTCTCCATAGGATGGAATAAAAGCATATGCAACTTATCAAAAGCAAGGTATTCCTATCATATTTTTCCCTTGACAGGTGAGGTCTCCCTCCCCTAGCCCAATGGAGACTTCTGTTTCTGAACCATCGGAGGAGATCCTGTGCCAGGCTTTCTCCGATGTTCTGCTGGAAGTGAACGATGTCGACACGGAAGATGCTTGCGACCCAAACCTCTGCAGTGAATATGTGAAGGATATCTACATCTATCTGAAAGACCTTGAGGTTGGTTTGAGGAGCTCTTTGAGGGAGGCATGACATGTACCCTTGAATGGAAAGAAATCCAGCAAGCCGAGTTGGAGTCAACATAGCAAACTGAAATTGCACTGAAGGCAATGGATACAGTTAGCACTCTACCTATATATTATTTATCGCTTAAAATATATTCTTGTAAATATATTTTAAATAGCCTTGTTTTCCCCATTTTATGTAAGTTGCACTGTTTTACTATTTATTTATTTATTATTCAAACGTATATGCCGCCACTCCCGCTCGGAGAGGCTTACAAAACAAACTGGAATCTAACACAAATTAATGCCAATGTATTTAAAAGGACTTGAGCATCCATAGCTTTTGGTACCCGCAGGGTCCAAAAACCAAACCTTTTTATTTTATGATGTTTTATAATTATATCAATGTATTTTGATTGTTGTTTACATGATTTTAATATGTTGTAAGCTGCTTTGGGTCCCGTGAGAGAGAAAAGCAGGATATAAATAATAATAATAATAATAATAATCTTTATTTATACCCCTCCACCATCTCCCCCAACGGGGACTCGAGGCGGATTACATGAGGCCAAGCCCAAACAACAAATTACAATAAAATAAAAACCAAAGACACAAAAAATTATTATTATTTATACCCCGCCATCATCTCCCCAATGGGGACGCGGGGTGGTTTATATGAGGCCAAGCCCAGACAACATATGACACAAATAAGTATATTATTTTCAAGGGTCCACAGCACCACAAAATGCCTCTTTTGCATTACAGTCTAGGTATCAGTGGTTTAGATGGACAGATTGGCTGGACAGTAACTTAATAGAAGTGGATGGTTAAAAGTAGTACATGCCTGAGAGCTGGAGGAGGAAAAAACTCAATCACTACATCTCTCCTGGCACACAAGCAGAGAGAGATCTCAAAGCACACATCACATACTCTCCATACTAAACTGTACGCGGAGGATGTCCAACTCTGTCACTCCTTTCCACCTGCTACTAAGGAGGCTGTTCAGGTCCTGAACCGGTGCTTGGCCGCTGTGACGGTCTGGATGAGGGCGAACAAATTGAAATTGAATCCAGACAAGACAGAGGTACTCCTGGTCAGTCAAGGCCGAACAGGGCATAGGGTTACAGCCTGTGTTGGATGGGGCCGCACTCCCCCTGAAGATGCAGGTTCGCAGCTTGGGTGTGACCCTGGACTCATCGCTGAGCCTGGAACCCCAGGTTTCGGCGGTGACCAGGGGAGCATTTGCACAGCTAAAGCTTGTGCGCCAGCTGCGCCCGTACCTTGGGAAGTCTGACTTGGCCACTGTAGTCCACGCTCTGGTTACATCCCGTTTAGACTACTGCAACGCTCTCTACGTGGGGTTGCCTTTGAAGACAGCTCGGAAGCTCCAACTAGTCCAACGCTCGGCAGCCATGATTTTAACAGGAGCGGAGCGCAGGGAGCATACAACCCCCCTGTTGCGCCAACTCCACTGGCTACCGATCTGCTACCGGGCTGAATTCAAAGTGCTGGCGTTGGCCTTTAAAGCCCTAAACGGTTCCGGCCCAAGCTACCTCTCTGACCGCATCTCTGCCTATGAACCCACCAGGACTTTGAGATCTTCCGGGGAGACCCTGCTCTCGATCCCGCCTGCTTCTCAAGCTCGGCTGGCGGGGACGAGAGATAGGGCCTTCTCGGTGGTGGCTCCTCGGCTGTGGAACGCCCTTCCTACGGACATTAGACTAGCACCATCTCTAATGGTATTCCGCAAAAAGGTGAAGACCTGGATGTTTGTGCAGGCGTTTGAGTAATTTAGTACAATCTGGTAATGGAACATAGGAATGGAACAATGGACGACGAATCTGGACTACGCTTGGATGATGAGAAGATTGGGTACGGTTGTTTTTTGTAATAATTGTGCATTGTAATTGCTTATTGGTAATTTATGGATAATGTGTTAAGTCAATTGTTATATGTTGTATGGAACCACTGCTGTTTCTACTGTTTCTACTGTTTGTGAACCGCTGTGAGTCGCCTTCGGGCTTGAGATACAGCGGTATATAAGCAAAGTAAATAAATAAATAATAAATAAGAAGACAGAAGTCAGATTCAAAAAGGCTTGCAATAGAAAAGTGTCCATTTTAAACAATCGGAATGAGAGCAGGAACATAGGAGAGAAGAAATACAGGAGACAAGAGGGAACGGAATTCCCTCAACTTACAGTAAACTAGCTAGCTGCTCCTCATTGAGGACTTGAGACTTGAATTTCAACATAAACAACCTGGTTCTCATTTCTGGGAAATAAAAGCAAGATATATGTAATCATTTACAGATTTCTTCTTTATTTTTATTTTATAGGGTTCGCAGGCAGTGAGACCAAACTACTTGGTAGGCCAGGAAGTCACCGGAAACATGAGGGCAATCCTAATTGACTGGCTTGTGCAGGTCCAAATGAAGTTCAAGCTCTTGCAAGAGACCTTGTACATGACTGTTGCCATCATTGATCGTTTTCTGCAGGTAAGTGATTCTATCTTGCACAGGCAACAACTGGAGTAGAGTTCCGTGTAAAGCTTTTCTTATGCTTAAGGTAAAAGCTTTGAATGCTAGGTTTGGTTCATTTGCTGCCTTTGTTTCCCTGCCACTTTCCCACTTGGGGATCAGTATATATTTTAGGTCGAGCTCTTGCATTTTGTCAGTCAGAGATGGACATGATTCATAGAATCATAGAGTTGGAAGAGACCTCGTGGGCCATCCAGTCTAATCCCCTGCCAAGAAGCAGGACAATTGCATTCAAAGCACTCCCAAGAGATGGCCATCCAGCCTCCTACATAAAAGGAGCTTCTGCCACACTCTAGGGCAGAGAGTTCCAATGCTGAACAGTTCTCAGCCAGAAAGTTCTTCCTAATGTTGAGGTGAAATCTCTTTTCTTGTAATTTGAAGCCATTGTTCCATGTCGTCGTCTCAAGGGCAGCGTCATATTTATTCCACCCATTTCAGCCCGAAGGCGACTCAGTGTGGTGTACAGACCGGCAACAATTAGATGCCCAATATATATACATATATCAGTTAAAACAATTAAATCACATAATAAATACATATAAAAATAATAAAAGCTATAAAAATCTATAAAAAATATTTTTTATTTATCGTGTCAGGAGCAACCAGGCATTTGTATTACAGTTTTAACAAAGCAGACAGACAAAACACAAATTTTGCAAGCTTGGTAGTTGATTAAATGTCCTTTGACCAATATCTGGCCACTTGGGAGTGCCTCTGGTGTTGCCGCAAGAAGGTCCTCCATTGTGCATGTAGTGGGGCACATAAAAAATAATGCCCCCCCCCCCCCCCCCCCCAGGACTCCAAAGCATTCAGCCAGGGCTAGCGTCCTAGTCTCCAGGGCAGCAGAAAACAAGCTTGCACCCTATTACTTCCCCTCACATATTTGGCTGTCATGTCTCCTTTTCAATAAACAGTTCAAGTTGTAGTACTTGCATAGACTTGGATGTTTCGAGTTGCTTTTTTGACTAAAATTTCTGGGTGTATAGGGCAAATGACTTGGCTAAGGTGTAATGAAGCACTTTTATGGACTGTTTCATCTTGCAAAAAGTTGGTATGTGGATGTTTTCTATTACAGGACAACAAAGTAGCTAAGCGGATGCTGCAGCTGGTTGGTGTAACAGCCATGCTTGTTGCCAGCAAATATGAAGAAATGTATCCTCCAGAGATTGGTGACTTTGCCTTTGTGACTGATCAGACTTACACCAAACTCCAGATCAGACAGATGGAGATGAAGATCCTGAAATCTCTTGATTTCAACCTTGGCCGCCCTCTTCCCCTGCACTTTCTGCGGAGGATCTCAAAAATTGCAGAGGTAATGCTGCATTGAAGCTTCCCCACCTGTGGCTTGCCACGATGTTGCAGAAGGACACTCCTCAATGAAATGTGTGTTGGAAAATCAAATTTGAAATCTTAGTATCCAGAACATTCCTTCTTTTGGAATGAAAGACAAAGCTGGAAAAAAAGCTTTGTCTTGATAGGTCCTGCTACTTAAAGGTTTCCCCTTGACGTTAAGTCTAGTCATGTCAGACTCTTTTGGGGGGGGGGGGGGGGGCGTGCATCTCCATTTCTAAGCTAACGAGCCAGTGTTGTCCATAGACACCTCCAAGGTCATGAGGCCGACATGACTGCATGGAGCGCTGTTACCTGCCCACCGAAGTATCTATTGATCTAATATTTTAATGTTTTCGAACTAAATTGGCAGAAGCTGGGGCTAATAGTGGGAACTTTTGGTCAGCAAGTTCAGCAGCTTGGCGGTTTAACCCGCTGTGCTGCCGGGTGCTCCTTACAGGTGTCAAAATACAGTTTGAAATACACTGATGAGCCTATGAAGTAATCTGTATAGATTCGTATATGTGCCTCAACCTTCTCTTCATTATTTTAGGCAGATGTACAACAACACGTACTGGCAAAATACCTGATGGAACTCTCACTGGTGGATTATGAAATGGTACACTACCCTCCTTCTCAGATTGCTGCTGCAGCCTTTTGCTTATCCTCTAGAGTTCTTGAAGAAGGGGAGTGGGTAAGTAACTGACCCCACTGGATGTTTTGCTTTTTTCCCCTTAAGGCAGATTTTTAAAAATTTAAAAAGCGCAGTATTTTCCATGGTGTTTGTCCTTATATTTGCGTTAAGGGTTACAGTCATAGTGTAGCTTTAAGAATATTGCAGGTGTCCGTTTGGGTTATTCAGTTGATGGAAGTGAAATGATGCCGTTTTCTCTGAAGCATCCCATGCATGCCTAGGAAGTCTTCTAGAATGAAGGGCTGAAGGCACCAGGGGAAGAGCATGAAGTCCCAATCTGCTAGTGCAGTATTGGATTTAATTCTATAACACATGTTTGGAAGATTTGTCTCTGAACTTTCCTTTGCTATATAATCTCCGAGGACCCAGAGGTCCTAAACCTGTCTCTACCTGGTCCCTTACCTGATTTACAGAGTCGGTTAAATGTGTTGTCAAAGGCTTTCATGGCCGAAATGGAGCCCATATGTACCATGGATAGCGCAGATGAGCTCCCTCTGTTAGCTCCAGCTCCCCATGTGGGAACATGAGAGAAACATCCCACAAGGATGGTAAAACATCAAAACATCTGGGTGTCCCCTGAACAACATTTTTGCAGACGTTCAGTTTTCTCACACCAGAAGCGACTTGCAGTTCCTCAAGTTGCTCTTGACACACACACACACACAAAATGGCCGGAACCACTGACTTGCTGTGAGTTTTCTGGACTGTATGGCCATGTTTCAGAAGTATTCTCTCCTAATGTTTTGCCCACATTTATGACAAGCATCCTCAGAGTTTGTGAGGTTCTCCTCTGACATTTGCCAGGAGAGAGGTTTCCAACAAACCTCACGATCTAAGAGGGTGCCTGCCATAGATGTGGGCAAAATGTCAGGAGAGAATGCTTCTGTAACATATGGCCATACAGCCCGGAAAACTCAGCAATCCAGTCTATGTTAAGTTCTAAAGTTGAGCTGGGTTTTTTTGGTTGTTGTTGTTTTTTTGTTTTTTTTTTCAAAAAGAGCCTTTGAAAAGTTTAATGGAAGATAGTAATATCCTTCCAAAATATGATACAAGTTGCTCTGTAATACTTCTAACTCAAACCTTGCTTCTTGATCTTAGACACCAACTCTGGAACACTACATGTGTTATGCCGAGCATAATCTTGTTCCTGTTATGCAGCATATGGCCAGGAACATAGTGTTGGTAAACAAAGGCCTTACAAAGCACATGGTAAGCTAATTCTATACTAGTGTCTATCTGCCTCTTTTCATTTACCTGTATCTATGTGCTATAGGAGTGAGGCTTGCAGGTGAGTCAACAATATGCAGCAAGTCCAATTTGTAGATAAACTTTCTTCTTAGATGAGTAATGAAAATACAGGCAGTCCCCGACTTAGAAACAATTCATAGTCAAGAACAGGGTGAGACAACAGAAGTGAGATAAATCCACCCCTAAGAGAGGAAATTCACTCTGTAAATACTTATCGTGGGGGAAAGGTGTCTCCACTGAAGCATTATCAACAATCCTTGTTTCCCACAACAAACCAATTTTTTCCCAAATTATCACAGGGGCAGAAAGTGAGATGAAATCTTCTGTTTAGGGGCACAGACAGCAAAAGAAACACCACAAGGGTGTTAATCCTTCCCTATGCTTTCCAAAGCTTTAAAATACATATTTTCGGCTCAAGTTATACTTAAAAATGTACCTGTTCCAACCTACATATAAATTCAACTTGAGAACATACAGACTCTATCTTGTATGTAACTTGAGGACTGCCTGTATTTGCATTTGGGACTGATAAAGTGAAGTAGAACATAGATCAAGAAATTTTGCTATTTTTATCATGTCTGTTCACAGCGGTACACTTGTCAGTCTTTGAAAGTAAAAAAAATAGGATTTAGTAAATAAAAATCATATATTGCTCATGTTATGTGCCGCATGACTCGAAATAGTTTTTTTTCCATGTTTTGACTATTTCAAGTCAGATAGTTTTTTCCAGGTTCTAACTACCTGACTTGAAATAGTCAGAACATGGAAAAAACTATTGGATTGAAAAAAGGATTGGCTAAATAATAAATGGACTGTAGCCCTATCAGAAAAAGTAACTTATAAGTTAAGATTAGCAAAAAGAGAAATAAAGGAAGATCTGTTTGATAATACATAGAAACTGTTTATCATGTGTAAAATTAATGACAAATTCAACCCACCAGACAACCATGAAAGCTTATGCATGAATAATAAAAATATAATTATATTCAATTGACAAAATTAGAATTAAAAGTAATAGAACTGTTAACACTAAAAACTCATGCTATGAAAATAGGAAACTATATTTTATCAGCAAATCTTTGCTATAGTTAGATTGCACACTTTGAATATAATAACAATCTCCACAAAGGGACTTAGGGCGGCTTACACAAGGTGCCTAAAAACAAACATAAAAGTAAACACAATAAATACAATAAAAACACATGCACATATAGCCAAACACTTGGATTAAATTTCTGTTACTGTTGGATACTTCACTACAGTATAATTTTAGCAGAATGCCAGGTACTGATAGGGCTTCTCTTGTCAAAACAAGAAATGATAGTGTTTAATTCAGAATGGTGTCCGATACTGAGATACCCTATAACCTTTATTTCTGCAGACTGTCAAGAACAAGTACGCCAGCAGCAAGCATGCGAAGATTAGCCTCCTTCCTGCCCTCAACTCTGAAGTCGTACAGAACCTGGCTAAACCACTACTGAAATGAATCTGATTGAACTGTTGGGCAGAGTTGACACCATGTGTCGCTAGTGTGTGTATATGTAAATGCTTTCATTTAAAGCTTTTAATAAACTTTCCCTTTTACTTTTACAACTTTGTCATGACTAAATGGGAGGGTGGAACTTTCAAATACTGTATAAATTAATAGTTTGTGTATTAGGTTGCTATCTTAATAAATGAGTTAAAATAAATCCTTCGTGAGAGTGAAGAACTGCTTGCCCAAGATACAAAAATATGCTGTGGGATTGTGTTGCCTTAAATGTTTACCATGCCAGCTGGATAGGTTTTAAGTTGTTTCTTTTACAACAAGGAAACTTTCAAGAACAGTCCTACTGCTTCCAATAGATCACTCCAGCTTTCCCTTTTTGCTTAAAATTCATTGCATTGGTCACATTGCATACCAATGTTGAAACCAAATAATCTAAGTAACATGTAACATCAGATGAGATGTACTTAAATTTGCTTATATAGATCTGTTGCTACTGCCCAGGACTTCAAACCACCGTTCCTTCTTTTTCATTGTAAAGCACCATCCTTGAGCTAAACAAAACAACTGAAATGGACAGCTCTTGTGTCTAACTGGGCCTTTCCACTATTGACTTTTGTTTAATAAATGTTCCTAATATTCTGCAAATTGCCTTCTTTATGGAATGATAGGGTCATACATAGATATCAATGCTGCTTTTTGAACTGAATACAGGAATCTCCCCAAAATGGCGGACTGTATGTGAACATGTATAGCAGTAACATAATTTCAGAGCAAAGATCAGTGGGTGCAAACTTCCCCTGAGTTGTTACTACAACCTGTTAAGGAATAATCTTCTGAGTTCATAGTTTTAAATGGTAAAATATAAAGTCAACAGTTTTAATATGGGTTGGTAAGCGAAGGCATCTTTTGGCACCTTTGAGAATAAAAGCAGATGGTATCTTTGTAAAATGTTCGTCGTTTTGTGTTTTGTTTACACTGTAAGCTATTAATGTGTGTCAATAATTTTCTATTTTAAAAAACGAGAATGAAAGAAAATGGTAGCATAAGTTTTTGTGAATTGGAGTCTACTTCATCAGATGCATCCAATGGAGTAGCTTTAAATCGAGGGAAGTTTATGCTACCAACTTTTTTCAGATGCAAAAGTGCTACAACACACCCTTGCAAAGCTTAAAATAATCTATGTTCAGAACTAGAGGTTTAGCAAAATGACCTAAGCTTGTTCTTGTTTCTGACCAATAGTAATCACAGGGTTTTTAATTGGTACTTATTTTCCCTAGTGGAGAGTGGCTGAAGCAAGTCTTAACATTTCTAAACACCTATATTTCCAGAAAGGTAATTATCCTAGCCTTTTAAAAGAAAAAAAATGACACAGTAATTCCTTAAATGCTACATTTATGAGTTTTCATGGGGCAGTTTTCAAGGAATCCCACTGGAGCATTGCAGCGCACCCAAATACCTGGGAGTCACTCTGGACCGTGCTCTGACCTACAAGAAGCACTGCCTGAATATCAAGTAAAAAATGGGTGCTAGAAACAATATCATACGAAAGCTGACTGGCACAACCTGGGAATCACAACCAGACACAGTGAAGACATCTGCCCTTGTGCTTTGCTACTCTGCTGCTGAGTATGCATGCCCAGTGTGGAAGACATCTCACCGCACTAAAACTGGATGTGGCTCTTAATGAGACATGCCGCATTATCACAGGGTGTCTGCGCCCTACACCACTGGAGAAATTACACTGTTTAGCTGGTATTGCACCACCTGACATCCGCCGGGAAGTAGCAGCCAATAGTGAAATGAACAAGGCAGTGACATCTCCAGCTCATCCCTTGTTTGGGTATCAGCCAGCATGTCAACAACTTAAATCTAGACATAGTTTTCTAAGATCTACAGAGACACTCGCTGGAACACCTCAGCAAGCAAGCGTCCAAAAGTGGCAGGCTCAAACCCTCAACCAATGGCTGATACCAAATGAGAGACTCCCCCCTGGACACACAGAAGACCCGGCGACTTGGAAGGCACTGAACAGACTGCGCTCTGGCACCACGAGATACAGAGCCAACCTTAAGAAATGGGGCCACAAAGTGGAATCCACGACATGCAAGTGTGGAGAAGAGCAAACCACCTGCTGCAATGCAACCTGAGCCCTGATACATGCACAATTGAGGACCTTGTGGCAACACCAGAGACACTCCAAGTGGCCAGATACTGGTCAAAGGACATTTAATCAACTACCAAGCTTGTTTGTTTGTTTTGTTCTGTTAGAAATGTAATACAATGGTCTGGTTGCCCCTGACACGATAAATAAATGGGGCAGTCAGTATGGCGAAGTGGGTTGAGCACTGAACTCGGACTGTGGAGACCAAGGTTTGAACCCTCACTCAGCCATGGAAACCCCCAGGATGACTTCTGGAAAGTCACACACTCTCAGCTCTTAGTGGTTCTCAACCTGTGGGTCCCCAGGTGTTTTAGCCTTCAGTTGCCAGAAATCTCAGCCGGTTTACCAGCTGTTAGGATTTCTGGGAGTTGAAGGCCAAGACATCTGGGGTCCTATGGGTTGAGAACCACTGCTATATGCTATAAACATGCCTATGTCTTTAAAGCAGTGGTCCTCAACCAGTGGGTCCCCAGGTGTTTTAGCCTTCAGCTGCCAGAAATCTCAGCCGGTTTACCAGCTGTTAGGATTTCTGGGAGTTAAGGGCCAAGACATCTGGGGACCCACAGGTTGAGAACCACTGCCTTAAAGGAAGACAAAGGCATTTTTATTGTTAGCAATTCCCTTCATACAAAGCTTTTAAGTGTTCTCCAAAATTTCACATCTATAAATCTAACTATGACTTTAAACCACTAAACCATTACATAATAAGTAACATAAATAACATTAAAACAAAGCATTAAAATATATTAATATAAACATTAAAATCACATGATAAATGATTTTAAGACCAGAATGCAAAGTACTATTTTCGAATTTTAAGTGCTCCTACTTCACTTTCCATCTCTGCCACTGAAGATCGACAGGTTGTACAGGGTGTTTGGGAGTTGGAGGCCCAAACATCTGGAGCACCATAAATTTGACACCTCTGCTTAAGTGAACAGATTCCAGAAGATTATACAATCTAGATATAGCTTATACCGTATATACTCAAGTGTAAACTGATCTGAATATAAGCCGAGGCACCTAATTTTACCACCAAAAACTGGAAAAACATTGACTTGAGTATAAGCCGAGGATGGAAAATGCAGCAGCTACTGGTAAATTTCAAAGTAAAAAATAGATCTCAGTTCTTGTGGGTTTTTTCGGGCTATATGGCCATGTTCTAGAGGCATTTCTCCTGATGTTTCGCCTGCATCTATGGCAAGCATCCTCAGAGGTGACCTCACCTCTGAGGATGCTTGCCATAGATGCAGGCGAAACGTCAGGAGAAATGCCTCTAGAACATGGCCATATAGCCCGAAAAAACCCACAAGAACTGGTAAAAACTTGATCAGGAGTACATGAACAGTAACATAGAATGATGTTTCGCCTGCATCTATGGCAAGCATCCTCAGTAGGATAAATGTTTTTTGAATATTTGCATACAAATGTAATTTAAGATATCTATTTTTGTCGTGTCAGGAACGACTTGGGAAACTGCAAGTCGCTTCTGATGTGAGAGAATTGGCTGTCTGCAATTGTCTGTCTGCGCTCTACCTGGATTTGAACTTGCGACCTGTCCTGCCAGCACAGGAGTTTAACCCACTGTGCCACCGGGGGCTCCTAGATCAAATTATAAGCAATAAAATAAATAAACAATAGATCAAATCATAAACAATAAAATAAGCAACAAATATATCATAGAATCATAGAGTTGGAAGAGACCTCATGGGCCATCCAGTCCAACCCCCTGCCAAGTAGCAGGAATATTGCATTCAAATCACCCCTGACAGATGGCCATCCAGCCTCTGTTTAAAGGTTTCCCAAAGAAGGAGCCTCCACCACACTCCGGGGCAGAGAGTTCCATTGCTAAACAGCTCTCACAGTCAGGAAGTTCTTCCTCATATTCAGATGGAATCTCCTTTCTTGTAGTTTGAAGCCATTGTTTCGCGTCCTAGTCGCCAAGGAAGCAGAAAACAAGCTTGCTCCCTCCTCCCTGTGGCTTCCTCTCACATATTTATACATGGCTATCATATCTCCTCTCAGCCTTCTCTTCTTCAGGCTAAACATGCCCAGCTCCTTAAGCTGCTCCTCATAGGGCTTGTTTTCCAGACCCTTGATCATTTTAGTCGCCCTCCTCTGGACACATTCCAGCTTGTCAAATCATAAACAATAAAATAAACAACAAATAGATCAAATCGTAAACAATAAAATAAATAATACATAGATCAAATCATAAGCAATAAAATAAATAAACAATAAATAGATCAAATCATAAACAAGAACTGAGAATTTAAGGTAAGACTGCCCAGCTCCGATTAAACCATTATTCTAACCTCCTTCAATGTCAATGTGCTTACATATCCTTCCAATAATAAAGAGTGTAAAATAATAAATGCAACAATAATAGAGTAAAATAATAAATGTAATAATAATAAAAGAGTAAAATAAGCTTCCGCTGTCAGCCCTAGCTTCTGCCAACCTAGCAGTTCGAAAACATGCAAATGTGAGTAGATCAATAGGTACTGCTTCAGCGGGAAGGTAACGGCGCTCCATGCAGTCATGCCGGCCACATGACCTTGGAGGTGTCTACGGACAACGCTGGCTCTTCGGCTTAGAAATGGAGATGAGCACCACACCCCAGAGTCAGACATGACTGGACTTAATGTCAGGGACTACCTTTACGTAAAATAATAGATCACAATAGATAGAGAAAAATAATAAATGTCCCCTACGTGCGCCAACTGCGACCGTACCTCGCGAAGGCGGATCTGGCCGGAGTGGTCCATGCCTTGGTCACCTCCAGATTGGACTACTGCAATGCGCTCTACGTGGGGCTGCCCTTGAAGATGGCTCGGAAGCTCCAACTGGTCCAACTAAACGATCAGCAGCCAGGATGCTAACTGGGGCCCCTTACAGAGAGAGGTCAACCCTCCTGTTCAAGGAGCTCCACTGGCTGCCATTTATTTTCCGAGCCCAATTCAAGGTGCAGGTGCTTACCTACAAAGCCCTGAACGGTTTGGGACCAGCCTACCTGCGTGACCGCATTTCCATCTACGAACCCACACGTTCACTTCGGTCATCTGGAGAGGCCCTGCTCGTGATCCCACCGGCGTCGCAAGCGCGCTTGGTGGGGACGCGGGACAGGGCCTTTTCCGTGGTGGCCCCCCGACTCTGGAACACCCTCCCCAAAGACCTTAGACAGGCCCCTACATTGGCTGTCTTCAGAAAGAACTTGAAGACCTGGCTTTTCCGATGCGCCTTCCCAGATTAGGAAATCTCCACCACCAAGTCCCATAAGCACTTTATCAGAACCAATGATTGCTGCACATCACACATCGCACTTGCCCTGAAAGCCCTATATACACCTCCTGTCACATCAGCACTTTTAATCTTGTACCCATTGCTCTGGCCCGGCCCAGTTTTATTGTGTTTAGTGTATTGTGCCTGTTGTTTATTTTGCTTTATTCTGTTTTTAATTGTTTGATTTGCTTAGATTGTATTGTTGTGTTGTGTGTTGAGGCCTCGGCCTGTGTAAGCCGCATCGAATCCTTCGGGAGATGCTAGCGGGGTACAAATAAAGTTTAATAATAATAATAATAATAATAATAATAATATGGGGACATGTGAGAAGCCTCTCACAAGGATAGTAAAACATCAAAACATCCCCTGCGTAATGTCCTTGCAGACGGCCAATTCTCTCACAGCAGAAGCGGCTTGCAGTTTCTCAACTTGACACAGAAAGAAAATTCCCTGCCACTCTTTTCCAACATTTGCCCTTCCAGGATCTCAAAGACTTCAACTCCCAGAAGCCCCGGCTAGCTTTACAAATGCGCAGGAATGCTGGGAGTTGAAGTCCACGACCCCTATCTCCGTTTTCGTTACCCTGACCAATGGAAGGCCTTTCCTTGAGTTGTGGGGCGTGTACGGCTACAAGGACAACCAATCACGGGAGGCCCCGCCCCTCGCGTTCACATAAGGCCTGAGAGGAGAGCGCTCCCTCTGTAGAGTTCAGGTGTGGAGGCGGGATTTTTGAAACGGTTCTGTCCCAAAGAGGCCTCGGTCGGGGAACGGGAATGGCTGGCGCCTCCGAAGAAGGAGAAGTCTCCAATATGGGCGAAGGGGCCCTCAGGCTGCTCGGCGAGGAAGGCGAGAGGACGCCGGACCTGCTCACTCTGCTTCGGTCAGTCGCCTGAGGCCGGGCTGCCACGAAGGGAGGGACACACTGTCGACATGGCGCCCCTTTAGCTACCCGGGCGCAATGCTATGCAGCCCTGGGAGCTGTAGTTTCACAAGGCTCGTAGCCTTCTCTGCCCAAGAGTGGCTGCTGCCTCTCTCAAACTAAAAATCTCAGCATTCAATAGCCGTGGCAGCAGAAGAGTAGTCAAACTGCTCATATTTTACAGTGTAGGCCAGGCCTGGGCCAACCTGGACCCTCCAGGTGTTTTGGACTTCAACTCCCACCATTCCTAACAGCCTCAGGCCCTTTCCTTTTTTCCCCTTTAGGAATAGTGGAAGTCCAACTCGAACCGCCGACCTTTCAGTCAGCAATCATGCCCGCCCAAGATTCCCACATTATCGGCTCTGAGCTGGAATATATGGCAGTGTGGACTCAGTTCAAAGCAGATATTGTGGGGTTTTCTGTCTTGATATTCTGGGTTAAATAGCTGTGTGGAAGGGCTCCTAATTTAAAGCGGAAAACCTGGGATTATTATTATTATTAAACTTTATTTGTACCCCGCTAGCATTTCCCGAAGGACTCGATGCGGCTTACAAAGGCCAAGGCCTCAACACAACAACAGCAAAACAACAACAATACCTCACTACCTCTGAGGATGCTTGCCATAGATGCAGGCGAAACGTCAGGAGAAAAATTGCCTCCAGAACATGGCCATATAGCCCGGAAAAACCTACAACAGTGATCCCGGCCATGAAAGCCTTCAACAATACAACAACAATACAATTCAAAGCAAATTAAAAACATAAGCAATAACAAACATTACACCATTACGCAATAAAACCAGGGCCGGGTCAGTGATGGGTACAGGTTAAAAAGTGCTGGGTGTGGCAGGTGGTATGTTGGATTTCTGGGCAAGTCAATGTGCAGAGAGTCTTAAACTCTAATAAAGTGCTTCTGGGACATAGTGCTGGAGGTTATCCTATTCCGGAAAGGCACATCGGAATAGCCAGGTCTTCAAGTTCTTCCTAAAGACTGCCAACGTGGGTGCTAGTCTAATGTCTTTGGGGAGAGTGTTCCAGAGTCGGGGGGCAACCACAGAGAAGAACCACAGGGATCACACCCTGGGATATAGGGCCCTTCCAGACAGCCATATAACCCAGAACAGGGGTCCTCAAACTTTTTAAACAGAGGGCCAGGTCACAGTCCCTCAAACTTGGAGGGCCGGATTATAATTTGAATAAAAAAACATGAATGAATTCCTATGCACACTGCACATGCCTTATTTGTAGTGCAAAAAACACTTAAAACAATACAATAATTAAAATGAAGCACAGTTTTAACAAATATAAGTTTATTAGCATTTCAACGGRAAGCGTGGGCCTGCTTTTGGCTGATGAGATGGGGTTGTTGTTGTTGYRTGCTTTCAAGTCGTTTCAGACTTAGGTTGGCCCTGAGTGAGGGCCGGGTAAATGACCTTGGAGGGCCGTATTATTATTTATTTATTAACTTTATTTATACCCCGCTAACATCTCCCGAAGGACTCGGTGCRGCTTACAAAAGGCCAAGGTCCTCAATAAAACAACAGCATAACAAATACAACAATAAAACTCATAAAGCAAAACAAAAAATTAAAGCAATAACAATAAACATTAAAAACAATGACACCACRATGCATTTAAGACTAAGGCCGGGCCAAATGTAATGAATAAAATTTAAAAGTGCTGGACATGACAGGTTAAATGTATAGGCCTTTAGAGGTAATGCTGTGTACAGACAATCTTAAATCTCTAGTAAAGTGCATTTGGGACATGATGCTAGGAGCCTCCTATTCTGGAAAGGCACACCGGAACAGCCACGTCTTCAAGCTCTTCCTGAAGACTGCCAGCGTTGGGGCTTGTCTGATGTCCTTAGGGAGAGAGTTCAAGAGTCGGGCCTTAGTTTGAGGATCCCCATTGCGTCACCAAGGGGCAATGTAGAGCTGAAGCATCTTCTGCAGAGTTCACTGTAAATATTGCAAATCAGATTCGTGTAAATGTCTAAAACAGCCACTGGGTGACATTCAGAAAACAGTGTTGCCAATTTTTTTGGACCCCGACATTGAGCAAAGAGCCATTTGGGGTCAAGACCCACAATTTAAGAAACAGTGGACTAGAACAATGGGAGACTAGGGCTTAAATACTTGCCTTGCCATGGAAATCCACTGGGAGGCATACTTTAAATACAGAAACTTATTTTTTCTAGGTTGCTGTAGGTTTGTTCCGGCGATATGGCCATGTTCAAGAGGCATTTTCTCCTGACGTTTCGCCTGCATCTATGGCAAGCATCCTCAGAGGTAGTGAGGTCACTACAGAGGTAGTGAGGTCACCTCACTACCTCTGCGGATGCTTGCCATAGATGCAGGCGAAACGTCAGGAGAAAATGCCTCTGGAACATGGCCATATAGCCCGAAAAAACCTACAACAACTCAGTGATTCCGACCATGAAAGCCTTCAACAATACATATTTTTTCTAATTTATTATTCCAAGGGAGTAAAGAAACCTGCTTAATTCCTCCTTTAAAATCATCACCTCATCATACAACCATCATCTTTAAGACTTGCTATAAACTCTTAAAGGAAGAATATGGATTTACTTTAAACTGTTTGCAGTCCTTCCTATTAATGACTCTGGTTTTTTTTTAATTGTAGCATAAAGGAACAAATAAATCAACAGCTTATGGAATATAATACGACAGTTAATGCAAGTAAGTGAATGTCTGTCTACCTTTATACAACTAATGCAAAGGTGCAAATTCCAACATTTCCAACATTTCTAGTGTTAACATAAAGTAAAAACTTAACAACTGATGAAGTTATGAAATCCGCATGTGGACAATTGCAACAGAAAGGACGAAACCATGAAAATGAACAAAATCTGGCTACCAGTACTAAGAAAACTCTAAAATTATAATAGTAAATAAGAAACAAAACTTAAACACAAGGGAACTCCAGATAAGAAACAATCATGAAGACCTAATCACCTCTCAACAAAGGAATTTCTGCTTGTCAGTAACTAGCCGTCTAAAATACAACAACGGTGTTCAGTTATTCAGCATGTTCAGCTAATTTGTTAAGAAAGGACAAGTTACATTGATCACCCCTGGGGCCATAGTACTACACTGCAAAATATATCAACGCAATGCGTTTATGTGTGTGTGTGTGTGTGTGTGTTGGAAATATATATGCAAATAGGGACGAATTGAATTGTTTGAAGTGATGGTTCTTGAGGCGGAATGAAATATTTCTTTTAATACTTCTTTCATTATATGTTGCTTATATTTATGGTTTCCCACATTTTGAGTTGGACATGATTTTATCTTGGCAAATTGGCTTATATGTATTTTATCCTTTATGTATTTTTAATTTACTGTTGATGTTTGTTGTTAGATTGTTTTGATGTTTTAGACTGTACTATTAGCATTAAATCCTTGCTGTTAGCCAGTCTGAGTCTCTCTACGGAGGTAGAGAAGATCAGGATATAAAATTTTAAATAAATAAATAGCCACACCTAAAAACTGTCAGGCCATCAAATGCTAATCAAGGTGGCCAATTGAAACATTCACACCTATCTCCAACAGACAAGAGTTCTTTCTCCCATCTTGGACCTTCCACAGATATATAAAACCAATTTTTCCAGTTTCCAGCAAACCTCACAACCTCTGAGGATGCTTGCCACAGATGCAGGTGAAATGTCAGGAGAGAATGCTTCTAGAACATGGCCATATGGCCCGAAAAAACCCACAACAACCCAACTTATGTCCTATTAGTGTACTTGTTCTGGTAGTAAAACATCATAGGGAATTCTTTTGACCACTTTCGACGGCTGACATGTACAAACTGTGAAAATAGTGTTCTGTAATGTAAGAATGTCTTTTCTGTATATTAGGCATGTTTTTTTTAATATAGGGGATTTTTTCAGCCTTCTAAACTTTGTGTAACTTCTGCTTGTCAGATGAAGACAGAATTGCAGATCAAGCTATAGATGAAAAGAGAGTGGAGAGGTATGTTTTTGAAAGTTGATAAAAATATGTAGAACTATTTCTCTGTGTTTGTTTTCCTCTCATTCTACAAATCCAGGAGGTGAATTAATTGATCTTAGTGCAGTTCTTGCATTGCTGGATTTTAAGAAGAGAGTGGCATAGAAGTGCTATTTGGTGCATAATTTAGTCCTGTTTTACTTCTCCTTACAGAATCATTCACCTTAATTTGCTTTATTTGCAATTTGTTTACTTCAGAAACTACAAGCTTAAATGTTTAAAACTGTTTTTGGACTTTATTTTAAGAGGTACTAGAATGTGTTTTTGGTAGTTTGCTGTTGTATGCAAATATCAAGCTGCATTCATTATTTCTTTTAATCTACACATATTGAAAGTTGAGCCCCATTTAAACTGCCATGTGGTACAGACTGAAACTGCATTATATGGTCAGTGTTGATTCATATAATGCAGTTCAATGCAGCTAATTTATTTATTTATTTCGCATATTTGTATCCCATCCTTTTCACCCCCGGAGTGGGACTCAGGGCAGCTTCACAATAAGCACTCATTCAATGCCAGCAACAGTAATAAATGAAAAAGGAATTAAAACAATCTGTTAATGCTTTAAAATTACTAAAACATTGTTTAAATCACGCAAGTTTGAAATCATAGTCCAGGTCAGTCCATTGTCAATCACACAAATTGGGTCTCATTCTAAATTGCTGCCTCTACTGTTCATTCTAGAGTTTATAGTTTCATTCTAAAGGACAAGAGGTCTACATTAACTATACTAAAGTCTATAGTAACCATATCATGTAATTAAAAAATGCGTATGGCAATGTAAATCCAGCCTCAGTTGCACTTCTTTCCAAGCAACTGTCACATACGAGTTTGTGCTGGATTCCTTGTTCCATTTTTGTTCTTTTTTTGGCAGATGTGCATTTAAATTTTCTACAGTATGTTGTATTCAGAGTATATTTGAAAAATGACCATCTGCATACGTTTACAAGCTAAATCCAAAACTGGTCCTACCAAAAGTAAATATTTTGCTAGGTATGGTGCATATTAGCTACAGTTAACAAAGGGTGCAGCTGTAGAATTAATGTAGTTGGACACCACTGTAACTGCCCTGGCCCAATGCTATAGAATAATGGGATCTGTAGTTTTACAAGCTTTTTATCCTCTGCCAAAAAGTGCCGGTGCCTCACCAACCTATAACTCCCTATTCATTCCATAGCATTGAGACACGGCAATTGAAGTGGTGTCAAACTGCATTAATTCTACTGTGTAGATGCACCTAATGTCTCACTGAGTTCTATTGGTCTTTTCTATGTAGGGCTAACCGTCTTTTTAGGGCTGCAAATGTTCCCTTTGTTGTTCTCTTCTGAAAAGCGATGTTTTAAATTAATGCTGGTTTTGGGACAATTGTTAGCTTAGAAATGAAAGTGTGTCTTTAGCAATTTTGAATTTTTAAGGCCATATTTTTTAGTCTATTTTCTGAATTGTCTTTCATCCCATTTTGGGGTGTAAAAGAAATTTGCTAATGGTTAGGAACCCAAAAGACCAAGAAAACAAAGGCCCTATCCATCTCATTTGTATGCAATCTCATTCATGTCCTCTCTCTAATACTGTCCACATACTTTTAGCCATATTTATGTAGCCTTGTGATCTTAAAAAATGTGTTTCATTTTAAAAATAAGGTTGGGATAATCAGTTTACCAGAATGAGTACCAAATTATGTATTTGCTGTGTGCCCTAAAGAGCCAACAATATTATTAGATAGARAATTTGTGCTGAAAGAAGGGAGATGATTTCTGTGTATGAGTATGAAAAAAATGTAATTCTTCTTTCTTTTTTACATCTTACAGTTGCCATAGCAATTTGGGGGGGGGGGGGACAAAATAACCAAAGCTAATCTCCAATATGAACAATGTGTCTTCTCTATAAAATCATAACTAGAGAAACATATTAAAGTTTTCATGCTGTTATAAGAGTTTTATAGAAAAGTTTTGAGGTTTAGTTTGATGTAACTGGTTTCTTTCAATATTGTCCTTAGTTCCATAGAAGTCTTGGAAAGAGAAATGGAGGAGATGAAGATATCTTACCAAAACAAAACTTTAGCATTACAAAGGTAAAGAACATCTTGTTTTTCTTTCATTTGCAAATCTGAATTGTCCTTAGAAGCAAAGATGACTACATTGAGGCTATTGTACTGTGGATATATCATCTTGTGTCCCACCTTGAGCCACAGGAAGAGGCTGTTGTTGTTGTTGTTGTTGTTGTTGTTGTTGTTGTTGTTGTTGTTATTATTATTATTATTTACTAAAGTGGAAGGCATCGAAGAAAGAGGATGTCCACATTACAGATAGATTAAATCTATGAAGAAAGCCACACATCCCTGGCCTTATGAGACCTGAGCAGGGCTATCGATGACTAGGCACATTTTATTATTATTATAATTAATTTTATAATAAGATTAAAACAAAACCTACATACAGAAAACAAAATGACATCATCAACAACCAAAATTTAAACGTACTTTTTTAAGAATAATAATATTGCATCCTAAACATCAAAGAAACAATAACTGTTATCTAATCTATTTATTTATTTACTATAGTTATATCCCGCCTTTCTCAACCCCGAGGGGGACTCAAGGCAGTATAAGCATTAATTCAATGCCTTAAAAACAATATACATCCAATATACAAATCAATAAACATTTCAATTAAAATTTAAACAAGATCAAGAGCATTAAAACATATAAAACATTGCAATTGCAACTGTAAAACTGCATTATCCACAATCATAGTCAGGCCATTTCGGTAATCCTTACACATAAATCCAAGTCCATCTATTACACTGTGTTATTTGCCAAAGGCTTGATCCCAAAGTCATGTTTTCACCCTCTTTCTGAAGGTCAGGAGGGAAGGGGCTGATCTAATATCACCAGGGAGGGAATTCCACAGCTGAAGGGCCACCACAGAAAAGGCACTGTCTCTCGTTCTCACCAATCCCATTTGTGAAGGAGGTGGGACCGAGAGTAGGACCTCTCTGGAGGATCTGGGTTTGGGGGTGATTGCTCTGGAAATCTGGGAGTTGTAGTTCACCTTTATCCAGAGAGTACTAAACCTAGCCAATGGCAGATCTGGGCTAAAATTAAGTGATATTACCTCACATCCCAAAACAAACAATGCCTCTTCTAATAACCCGGGCACCGCCAGGTCCCTGAGCTTGTGTGTGTGTGTATAATAAGAATATTTTTAACCTGGTTTTTATATAGCTCAGATCTTTCCTGTCATTTGTCTTTCTGTATAGGATCCAAGTAGCTGATGCCCTCAGGAACAAACTGAAAGATGAGGATGAAGATTCTAAGTAAGGAGGTTTGAGACTCCAGAGCAAAGCATTCTTTAAAAGTACTTTACATATAATTGACAAGAGATTTTGCTTACTTGGGTTTACAATTACTGTATGTGATCAGAAATATATATAAATGAGACATTTGGGGATCATTGGGCTGCTTTTTTAGCCTTTGTAAGACTAAAAAATCAGAAATAGTTGAAATGAAAGTCCTGAAAACAGAACTATGCCACATGCCCTAAACCTTTCCCTAGTACAACTATTGGGGGGGGTGGGGGGCATAAACAAAGGCTAGATGGCCATCTTTTGATTGCGTTTTCCTGGCACGGCAGAAGGGTTGAACTGAATGGCCCTTGCGGTTTTGGTTTCTTCAAACTGTAGGCTAGATCTGTCTGCTGTCAGACATATACTTGAGAAGAGACTAGACAGAAGCAGGGTCAGATCCAGAATGGGGRAAAAGAGAAGTACCGTATATATTTGAGTATAAGTCATGTTTTCAGCCCTTTTTTAAATCTGAAAAAGGCCCTCTCGGCTTATAATCGAAACAGTTATTTATTATTTTACTCTATTTATTATTATTACATTTATTATTTTACTCTTTTATTGTTATTACATTTATTATTTTATTATTGGAAGGATACGTAAGCACATTTACRTTGAAGAAGGTTAGAATAATGGTTCAATCAGAAATGGACAGTCTTATCTCAAATTACTGTTTTATGCAAATAATCAAAAACAATTATCCTACTGATGCCTCAATTAATGTAATTTTATTGGTATCTATTTTTATTTTGAAATTTACCAGTAGCTGCTGCATTTCCCACCCTCGGCTTATACTCGAGTCAATACGTTTTCCCAGTTTTTTGTGGTAAAATTGGGTTCCTTGGCTTATATTCAGGTCAGCTTATACTCGAGTATATACGGTATAAACTATATCTAGATTGCATAATCTTCTGGAATCTGTTCACTTAAGCAGAGGTCTCAAATATGTGACCCTCCAGATGTTTTGGCCTCCAACTCTCAAAAGCCCTGTCCAGCATATCCAGTTACCAGGAATTCTGGGAGCTGAAGTCCAAAACACCTGGAGGGCCACAAATTTGATACCACTCACTTAAAGCATCTAGATCCGTTTGTTGAAATGCACTGTTGAAATGTCCTGTTTCAATCCATTCCCAGATTTATGCTGTAATCCCATTGTGCAGCTACAAATTCTCTTATTTTCTCAATAGGTTTATCTGGGATACTACAAAACACATCATTATGCTTAGTACTGCAATACTTAAATCACAGCAGGTAAGTCTCATTTGTTTTAAAATGTTACATTATTAGAGGGATAGATATCTAAAACCAAAAGTGACTATGTTTCAGCTTTACATTTTATAAAGCTATTTTTTACAGTCATATTGTCATAATACAAGTATATATTTCTATAAAATATGTTGATGTACTACTTGTTTATATAGGAATCGCGTGAATTGGAAGAAAAACTGAACGAGGTGAAGCAGAGCAGATTAGGTAAATTCACATAGTGACATTATAGTTACATAGCATTGTGTTATTTTCTGTACTTTTGTAATAAGTGTGATAATTAGGCTGTCTCATTTGAATATGTATCTTTCGGATCATGGTAGCATCCCAAGAGAACTAACTACACCTTGAAAATGACTTATGTTGAAAATATTGCTATGTTTGTATGTGCCATGACTGTAACCTGTGTCATACAGCTGGACTTCTGCTTATTCAGTTGTGCTTCCTAGGAGCCCCCGGTGGCACAGTGGGTTAAACTCCTGTGCCGGCAGGACTGAAGACTGACAGGTCGCTGGTTCGAATCCGGCGAGAGGCGAATGAGCTCCCTCTATCAGCTCCAGCTCCTCATGCGGGGACATGAGAGAAGTCTCCCACAAGGATGATAAAAACATCAAAAATCATCTGGGCGTCCCCTGGGCAACATCCTTGCAGACGGCCAATTCTCTCACACCAGAAGCGACTTGCAGTTTCTCAAGTCACTCCTGACACGACAAAAAAAAAAAGTTGGGCTTCCTTAGGGCACTATAGGGACTTTCTTTTCCCTATAGTGCCCTAAGTTGTTCAATTTAGTGTCTTAGCCTTCTGAAGCAGAATTATAGGGTGTATGGGAAACCATAGAGCAGTGGTTGTCAACCTTCCTAATGCCACAATCCCTTAATACAGGTCCTCATGTTGTGATGGCCCCCAACCACAAAATTATTTTCGTTGCTACTTCATAACTGTAATTTTGCTACTGTTATGAATCGTAATGAAAATATCTGATATGCAGAATGTATTTTCATTCACTGGACCAAATCTGGCACAAATACCCGATACACCCAAATTTGAATACTGGTGGGGTTGGGGGAGGGATTTATTTTGTCATTCGGGAGTTGTAGTTGCTGGGATTGTTAGTTAACCTATAATCGAAGAACATTCGGAACTTCACCAACAATGGAATTGAACCAAACTTGGCCCACAAACTCCCTTGACTAATAGAAAATACTGGAAGAGTTTGGTAGGCATTGACCTTGAGTTTTGGAGTTGTAGTTCACCTACCTCCAGAGAGCACTGTGGATTAAAACAATGATGGATCTGGACCTAACTTGGCACGAATACCCAATATGCCCAGATATGAACATTGTTGAAGTTTGGGGAAAATAGACTTTGACATTTGGGAGTCGTAATTGCTTGGATTTATAGTTAACCTACAATCAAAGAGCACTCTGAAGCCCAGCCCATAATGGATCTGCACCAAACTTGGCACACTACCTACATGGCCAACATTGAATACTGGTGGGGTTGGGGGGGGGAGCTGTCTTTGGATTCTGGGAGTTGTAGTTCACCAACACCAAAAAGGAAGAGAAGGACAGGCGGAGTGATCTTCAGTCTTCTCTGCCAAAGGGGTTCCTAAGACCATCAGAAATAAGTGTTTTCTGATTATCTTTGGCAACCCATCTGAAACCCCAGGTTGAGAATCACTGCCATAGAGGGTAATGAAAATTGTCCCCTCCCTATTATGACATTTCCTGCATACTCAGGGATGTGGAACAAATTTTAATAATGAAATTTTGGTTTTAAAATCCAAAGCTATAGTTTGATTTATTAAATGGGTGTGTCAGTGTACCATGGCATGCTCCTTCAATACATTTTTGGGAATCATAGCATTCATGGTTATCTATTTCTCTTCTCGTCTCTCCTCCTCCCTCATTAAATAGCACTAAAACGAGCTGGAGAATGCAAATTGGCACAAATATGTGATATAAAGAAGAAGAGAAAGGCAGAATTGGAAAATATGAAAGTAGGTGAAATGTTGGAGAAAATGCGTGGAAAACTGCAAAAGGAAATTCAAATGACCACAATAGTTCAAAACGTCTTTCAGGTACGGTGCATTTAAGAAAGTAGATAAACCTATCACACCAATCAAAATGAGCTAATTCGTACTAGCTGTGAAGGAAAATTTAATAGTGTATTGTTAAAAATAATATTGCTAGGGGGTGCATTTGATTGCTGTGCGATTCCATGTGATTTTACTTGAGAGATAGAAATATTGTGCTTGGAAACTGTTCATAAGCAGACAAGGAGCTCTGCCGTGGGCTGGTCCATGAGGTCAGGAAGAGTCGGGAGCCACTGAGTGAATAAACAGCAACAATATAACTTCAATAAGTAAAGCAAAGGTTTCCCCTTGACATTAAGTCTAGTTGTGTCCAACTCTTTGGGGGGGGGGGGTGCTGTTCACCTCCATTTCTAAGCCGAAGAGCAAACATTGTCCATAGACACCTCCAAAGTCATGTGGCCAGCATGATTGCATGGAGCGCCGTTACAGTCCCACAGAAGCAGTACCTATTGATTTACTCACATTGGCATGTTTTTGAACTGCTAGGTTGGCAGAAGCTGGGCCTAACAGCAGGAACTCACCCCAGTCCCCAGAAGTTCAGCAGCTTAGTGGTTTAACCTGGTGTCCATGCCTGATATAATTCCAATAATGTCAGTCTTTACATTTGGACCACAATTAAGTTCCTTTCATATTTTAGAAGCTACAAAATGAGTTTTTCAGAAATATATTAATGTTGCTATTACTGACAAATCCTATTTGGATAGTTGTATAGTATCATTACAAAAACATTATGGACTTTCTTTTCCTTGCTTTGAAACTTCTGCTGGAATTTATGTCTGTCTATGTTAAAACAAAACTTCACTGGCAGAAGTGGGCTTTCTTGAACCATTTTGAATATTTAATCACATATTTTATTTCAGAGTATCATTATTGCAAGTAACGTCAATTGGGCAGAAGATCCAGATTTGAAAGCGATTGTTCTGCAACTTGAGAAAAATGTGGCTGGGACCCGAAGAAGCAGCAGCAGCAGTACTTTAATGAATTTTCCATTGTTTTCTGATCTAAAGGACAAGCAGCAGCTTCAGATGGCGTTTCAATAAATGGGGAATTCTGTCACAGTAGGACCTTTATAAAGATGCATGAAATGGATGTAAATATGGACCTGGAAAGGAATTTCCTGCCAAAAAATGTCTTTGATAATTCAATATACAATTCCTAATTCCCTATAGCCTAGAAATAAAAAATATGCAATTTACTGAGGACTTTTCTCATTTCCTATAGGAAATATAGCAATGTATACAAAGGGAAACTAAAGCATATTTGCTTAAATGCCTAGTTATAGTTATTTGTGGCTAATTTCACTTTTTTGTTTGAAGTTATCCATTTACAAGTCTTTTTTGCAATTCAAAGACTTAACATTCTTCCTGGAAACACATTTCTCCTTCTCAAAATCAAAGAAATGAGCTCTTCAACAACATAAAGCAGGGGTTCTCAAAATGTGTCCTTGATAGTGAGAGGGTCTGCGGCGCCATGCTGCTTCCCACCACCTCCTCTTTCCTTCTCCTGAGAAATGCAGGGAAATTAAAGTTTTGAGCTGTTTGAACCAGCAGCAGTATCCTCCCAAGGTACAGACTTTTTTTCCGCTCCCCCTGCCCTCTCACTGCCCAGGCCCTTTTCCTTTCCACCTAGACCTCCCTGCTTTTTTGGCGTCCAAAACCCTATTTCCCTATGTTTTGATTGTGTTTTACCTGCATAGCAGAAGGTGGTTGGACTGGATGGCCTCTGGGGTTTCTGTTGTTGTTGTTGTTGTTGTTGTTGTTGTTATTGTTGTTACAAAGGCTGGGTGGCCATCTGTTAAGAGTCCAGTGAGTGTGCTTTTTTTACATGGCAGAAAAGGGTTGGACTATATATGGCCCTGGGGGCATTCCACTGAAATACTGATAAGTTGGTTAAAATTGTTCTCATCTTTCCTTTTTTGGGGGGCGGGGGGGCGGGGCTGCACTGTGTCAATTAGTTCACACATTCTCCATCCATCTGCCACTGGTCAGGCCCATGCCTGATATATACACATATAATATAATGTATAATATAATATAACTTTTCTTGGGGCACCACGAGAAACTTTTGCTTCAGAAAGGGCTTCACGACTGAAAAAGTTTGAGAACACCAGACATAGATAACACTGGTCAATATAGGTTTCAATGTCTCAGATGTTAGCCCTGTTTCTGGTTTCCGCTGATTTAAAAAATTGGCTACCTGCTGTTAAGAATTATGGGAGTTGAAGTCTAAAACACCTGGAGGGCTGAAGTTTGTGCATACCTACACTAGGGTAAACCACGTTGCTAGAAACATTTTTCTTGATCAAAAGAAAACCTCCCTACAAGGTGTTGTTAAATATTTACCTATTGGAGAAAGGCCACTTTTTAATAAGTGACTTATTCTGTGGCTTTGAACCTAAAGCAGGGTTTCTTGAAAAATTATTTTTAAAATTACATGCCATTTAAAAAAAACAATGTTTTTCTGAATTTTCATCATATATAGAGTTTAGATAAATGCATCAAATCTTTCTATCTATTGTACAGATTGTGCTTCCCTTATCTGGAATTCCTAAATATTCTAAAATCTGAAATTGGTGGTTGAAAGAGTGACACGTTTGCTTGCTGGCAGTTAGCTGTACACAAACTTTGTGTCATGTACAAAAAAATTACAAATGTATAAAATAATTTTTAGTTTATGGGGTGTGTGTGTGTGTGTGTGTGTGTCAGGAGCGACTTGAGAAACTGCAAATCACTTCTGGTGTGAGAGAATTGGCTGTCTGCAAGGATGTTGCCCATCCTTGTGGGAGGCTTCTCTCATGTCCCCGTATGGGGAGCTGGAGCTGACAGAGGGAGCTCATTCCTCCCCCCCCCCCCAGGTTCGAACCTCCAACCTGTCTGTCATCAGTCCTGCTGGCACAAGGGTTTAACCCACTGCGCCACCGGGGTCTCCAGGACATGGGTATAAAAATACAGTGGGTCTTTGGTATCCACTCAGATTTGGGTCCAGGACTCCCAAGAATACCAAAATCTATCAAGTCCAGTTATACATAATGGTGTAGTAAAATGATGTACCGTATATACACTGACAAACTTTTTGCTTCTTGGAATTTTTGTAATGTATTTTGAAGCCACAGGTGGCTGAATCCATGGGTGCAGAATCAGTGGGTACAGATAGCCGACTATGAAACATACATTAATTAGACCTATTCCCAAGATTATGTACATACATGCAAATACAGCCATTCCACAATATGAAAAACATCTAAAATCTAAGGCACCTCAAGTCCCAAGAACTTCAGATAATTGTTAGACTGTTTTTAACTTTCATTGTTTTACTATTTTAAGATGATTTGGGAGGGGGGGGGGTTGTGTCAGGAGCGACTTGAGAAACTGCAAGTTGCTTCTGGTGTGAGAGAATTGGCCATCTGCAAGGACGTTACTCAGGGGACACCCGGATGTTTTACCATTCTGTTGGAGGTTTCTCTCATGTCCCTGTATGAGAAGCTGGAGCTGACAGACAGGAGCTCACCTCACTCCCTGGATTCGAACTGCCGACTTTTTGGTCAGCATTCCTGCCGGCACAAGAATTTAACCCATTGTGCCATTGGGGGCTCCTTTAAGATGATGTGAGCGGCCTTGAGTCTGCTCCAGAGAAATGTAGCACAGAAATATATGAAAATAAATAAAGACTGGTATAAATAAGTGCATATTAAACAAAATGGAAAAATAAAAGTTTACTTCTTGGAATTTTAAAAATATTTTCAAGCTGTGTATGGTTGAATCTATCGATACAGTAGGCCAAATAAAACGTGAATGAATGAATGGTTGGATTTAGACTTGATCCCACTTTTTATGCAAATACAATAAATGCAAATTCAGGCATTTCAAAATTCCAAACCCTTCTGGTCCCAAGCATTTCCCGTATGGGACATTTAAGCTGTAATATATTACCCTCCAGCAATGACTGGAGATATAGAATGCACTGACACTGTATGATTAATCCGGTTAGACACCATTTGAATGGCCATGGCTCAGTGCTAAGGAATCATGGGAGTTGTAGTCTGGCCAACCACTAGCACTCTCCAGCAAAGATGACTAAAGGTCTTGTGAAGCTACAGTTCCCATGATTAGATAGAACTGAGTTGTGGCAGTGAAAGTAGTGTCAAACAGCATTGATTCTGGGTTGCTGTAAGTTTTCCATGCTGTATGGCCATGTTCCAAAAGCATTCTCTCCTGACGTTTCACCCACATCTATGGCAGGCATCCTCAGAGGTTGAGGGGTCTGTTGGAAACTTGGCAAGTGAGGTTTATATATCTGCGGAATTTCCAGGGTGGTCTGCTTGAGGCAAGTGTTAATGTTGCAATTGGCCACCTTGATTAGCATTGAATGGACTTGCAGCTTCAAAGCCTAGCAGAATGCTGCCTGGGGGAAATCTTTTGTTGTGTTATCTAGCCCTGATTGATTATTGTCTAGAATCCCCCTGCTTTTTGAGCGTTGCTCTTTATTTACTGTCCTGATTCCAGAGTTTTATTCATACTGGTAGCCAGATTTTTGTCCAGGGTGGGAGAAAGAACTCTTGTCTGTTTGAGGCAAGTGTGCATGTTGCAATTGGCCATCTTGATTAGCATTGAATGGCCTTGCAGCTTCAAAGCCTAGCTGAATGCTGCCTGGGAGAATCCCTTGTTGTGTTAGCTGGCCCTGATGGATTCTTGAGGTGTTAACTAGCCCTGATTGAGTCTTGTCTAGAATCCCCCTGCTTTTTGAGCGTTGCTTTTTATTTACTGTCCTGATTCTAGTTTTTTCATACTGGTAGCCAGATTTTTGTCCAGGGTGGGAGAAAGAACTCTTGTCTGTTTGAGGCAAGTGTGCATGTTGCAATTGGCCAGCTTGATTAGCATTTAATGGCCTTGCAGCTTCAAAGCCTTTATATTAATTGTACTGTATTTATTGTTTTTGTTTATTGCTTTTGTTTATTGATGTACTGTTGGGCTTGGCCTCATGTAAGCCGCTCCGAGTACCTTGGAGAGATGGTGGCGGGGTATAAAGTTGTTGTTGTTATTATTATTATTATTATTATATCTGTTTCAACGGGCTTTTGATCTCTAATATTGCTGTTTTTAAATTGTTTAAAATTGTTTTTAAATTGTGTTCAATTTTAGCCTGTTCTTGTAAGCTGCTCCGAGCCCCAGGGGAGTGGCGGCATATAAGTTCGAATAAGTTCGAATAATAAATAAATAGGTTCTTGTGGGTTTTTTCCGGGCTATAGGGCCATGTTCTAGAGGCATTTCTCCTGACGTTTCGCCTGCATCTATGGCAAGCATCCTCAGAGGTAGTAGAAAAAACCCACAAGAACCTAGTGATTCCAGCCATGAAAGCCTTCGACAATAAATAAATAAATAAATAAATAAATAAATATTATAAAGCCTGGCTGCGTCCTGCCTGAGGGGAATCCTTTGTTGGGAGGTGTTAGCTGGCCCTGATTTTTCCTGTCTGGAATTCCCCTGTATTTGAGTGTTGCTCTTTGTTTACTGTCCTGATTTTAGAGTTTTTTAAAAAATACTGGTAGCCTGATTTTCACGGTTTCCTCCTTTTTGTTGAAAATGTCCACATGTCAAAACGCACCCTTATTCCACAAATAAGTAAACCTGACTTGCCTTGTTTCCAATAAACTTCATAACCTCTGAGGTTGCCTGCCATAAGTGTGGGCGAAACGTCAGGAGAGAATGGCCATACAGCCTGGAAAACTCACAACAACCCAGTGATTCCGGCCATAAAATCCTTGGACAACACATTGCTGGGGAAAATACACCCAAAGGGATCTTCTCACTGTTATCTTCCTCCCTATCTGTTGAGCCAATGGGAGCAGCTCACCACCCCTTGTCCCCGCCCCCTGTCGGGCATACCCAGGCATATCCTTCGAGGGGCGGGGCGTCCAATGGCCACGCCCTTTTCCTGTTGTGAGGACACGCCCCCTCGCTCTCCCTGCTTGGGCGGGGGTGTCACCATGGGCAGCAAGATGGCGGCCGCCAGTAGGGTCGTTCAGGTAAGACCTTCAGCTCGGGTTTCCTCAACAGGGAACGAGCGGGTTGGCTTTAGGATGCGCGGAGAGCGGCGGATTTAGGCCCAGCTTGGGGGTTTGGGTCCTGAAAAAGTGAATGAGCCACTACAAGGGATCCTCAAAGTCCAGTGCCCTTGATAGGAAAGGGAAAAGAGAAGTCCTTCTCTTCAAAGAGTTGGATCTCAAGAACTTTGCATGTATATCAGGCAGGGGCAAACATAGGCCCGCCAGGTGTTTTGGACTTCAACTCCCACAATTCCTAACAGCCGGTAGGCTGTTAGGAATTGTGGGAGTTGAAGTCCAAAACACCTGGCGGGCCTATGTTTGCCCCTACCTGATCTGCACTCAGAAGCACTTTATTCAATCCCATAGTGCATTAAACCCCATTGTTTTTCTTCCCATCTGATCCTCCTTCCAGATACATTACATTGCTTCCTCACCCAGTGTTTTTAAACTTTTAATCTTTGCAACCCTCCCTGCCCACTGTGTTCAATTGCTATGATTCAATTATTGTGATTTTTATATTGCCTTCTGTGTTTGTTTTTGTATTGTATTTTGTATTTCTATTTTCATTATCTCTTATCATTGGATTTTTATGTTGTATATTTGCTTTGCTGTATTGTTGGGCTTGGCCTCATGGAAGCTGCCCCTTGGGGAGATGGTGGCGGGGTATAAATAAATAAATTATTATTATTATTATTATATTAACCCCTGTGCCGGCAGGACTGAATACCGACAGGTCGCAGGTTCGAATTAGGGGACAGCGTGGATGAGCTCCCTCTATCAGCTCCAGCTCCTCAAATGGGGACATGAGAGAAGCCTCCCACAAGGATGTTAAAACATCAAAACATCCGGGCGTCCCCTGGGCAACTTTCTTGCAGACGGCCAATTCTCTCACACCAGAAGCGGCTTGCAGTTTCTCAAGTCACTCCTGACATGACAAAAATGATGATGATGATGATTATTATTATTATTATTTTAACCCCTGTGCCGGCAGGACTGAATACCGACAGGTCGCAGGTTCGAATCAGGGGACAGCGCGGATGAGCTCCCTCTATCAGCTCCAGCTCCTCAAACGGGGACATGAGAGAAGCCTCCCACAAGGATGATAAAACATCAAAACATCCGGGCGTCCCTGGGCAACGTCCTTGCAGACGGCCAATTCTCTCACACCAGAAGCAATTTGCAGTTTCTCAAGTCACTCCTGACATGACAAAAATTATTATTATTATTATTATTATTATTATTATTATTATATCCCATGATTATATGAAAATACAAATATTCCACACACCAAAAAAAAACAAATCCTAAAATCTTGAAGGTTTCTGCTCCCAAACATTTTGTACTCGATTGTCTTAAATCCTGCCATGTTTTGATGAAATTCACTTTTCATAGAATTGGAAGAGACCACAGAGCCATCCAGTCCAATCCCATTCTGCCATGCCGGAGCACACACTCAGAGCCCTCCCTGACAGATGGCCATCCAGCCTTTGCTTAAAAACCTCCAGAGAAGAAGGCTCCACCACGCTGCAAGACAGCAGCATATTCCCTTGCAGGATTTTAGTCCTTCAATACCAAAACATGGGAATCTCAATTTTTTTTATTTCTTTCCCCTTTCACGCCATGTGAAAGAACATTGTACCCATTATAAAAGGCACTGAAAGACTAAATGAATTTGCCCAATCCCCTTAAACATCTCTAAAGCCTCTTCTACACTGCCATTTAATCCAGATTAGCAAAACTCACAATCCACATTATTTGCTTTGAACTGGATTATATGAGTCAACCATGCCATATAATCCAGTCTCTGTCCTTTAGATCAATTTCACCAGAGGGATCTCTTATATCTGGTAAGAGACACCTCAACTTGAAAGTTCAGACCCATTAAAGCAGGGGTTCCCAACCTGTGGACGACGAGACTTGAAATAAGGTCTGCGGCTCTAGATTAGTAAATATGGTTTTCTGTGGGTAAGCAGATGGCGACTACTGAATGGCATATGTTCTGTATCATAAACTAGAGCTAATGTGGTCTATCCAATGCAGTTTTCAGAATCAGCACCCCAAATAACTAAACTGAATTTAAAGCAAGAGGAACCTAAAGATACATTTTTATAAGCAATTTCATGACCCTTGAAGTATACAAAAAGACGGTACTTTTCATTCATCTAGAATTCTTGATCCTTTTTGTCAGTGTTTTGCAAATCTAGATTGTTTCCCAGCTATTATGGTATATTATACCATGGAGAAAGGTGACTTTTCCTGGTTTGAAAGTGTCATTTCCTATTTAATTGTGTAGTACTTACTTTGAAATTAGTTGTTATACTCCAGAAACTTCGTATTTGTGGCTGCCACAAACTATGTTGAACTAGTTGAAACTCTGTGAGATATTCATTGAAAAACTATAGCACAATGTGCTGCAGAAAGTCACACAAAAACAACGTTTTTGCAGTTTAATAAGCTTTTCCCATGTTTTATGATAAAACCAATTAGGAAATGACATTTATAACCCAGTAACAAAAATTGTGTTCCATAGTGTAATTGCCTGACTGCTCTGCTCACTGAACTGTTTCTGTTCATGTTGGTGCTTCTAACAACTCCATAAGTTTAAGAACTTTCTGTTTTTCTCATCCTTACCAGTCTCTTCTGTGTTTTAAATTGTCAAAGACTTGGGGCTTTAAAAAATATATTTTGTAAGTAAACCTGGGTAACCCTTTGGCAGAAGAGAAGATTAAAAACACACATACAGCAGCTATGGATTGTCATTTCTTAGACCGAGTAGTCAAACATGTAGCGCTTCTTAAGGAAAAGGCTGAGCTGACTCCATAGATTTCTGATTACACTATGTAACACACATTTTCTTCTTGGGTTATAAAAACCAGTTTCCTAATTGGTTCTATCATAAAAGCATGGTAAATGTATTAAACTGCAAAAACTTTGTTTTTGAGGGACATCTTGCAACAGATACTATAGTTTTTCAATTAATATCTCATTGAATCTCAACCAATTCAACATAGTTTGTGGCAGGCACAAAAAGGAAGTTTCTGAAATATAACAACTGCTTTCAAAGTAAGTACCTCACAATTAAACAGGAAATAACACTTTCAAACCAGGAACAGTTTTTTTTCCAAATTTTGTTACATAGTGTTGCCATCAAAAAAAATTCTCCCTCAACTTTTTTTTTAGCTACTTTAATTAAATCAGTATGAACATTAGACTTCGTACTGAGTATTTGTTAACAATTCACGCAGATAAATCTACTTCCTTTGGAGTTAACCTAGCAACTGTGGAGGTTGTGTTTGGAATGTGAATTAATAAATCATTAATATGCCTGGATTTAACATCTTTTTAGCACTGGAACTCTTTCAAAACCTGAAATTGAAGTCTTCAAACGTATTTGCATTATGTTTTCAAAACATTTTTTTTTAAATTCACGTATATAGATGTGTATATTGATTTATGCTCCTAGATTCTCTTCTGTTTCCCTTTCCTTGCCTGTTTTTCTTTAGGTGGTCAAGCCACATACGCCATTAATTAAGTTTCCAGACAGAAAAAGTGCTCCCAAACCTAAAAGTAAGTATCTCTCATAAACATTTATTTTAGATAGGCTTTTAACAATAAACTTGATAAAGGGTTCTTCACAATCCAATCATAGACATGTCTATTCAGAAATAATTCATTGAATTCACTAGGATATACTGCCAGGAAAGTTTGAGTAGGATTTCAGCCTTACATTGTTTTACTGGAGGGATGCTTACATCAGAAATAATGTTGCTTTACGTAAGTGTTTCCAAAATTTACTGGACTATCAGAATTTGTTATCTTTTTTTCAGGTACTGTTGGGAGTTAATAATTATCAGCCCAAGTATGGGAGTCACTGATTTAGAAAGAAGTCTAAAATTCCCTTTTGCTTCAAAAAGAAGTGAATAAATACTTGGATAGCAAATAGCAGTTCAGGTGTTTCATTTAAGGGAAATTAACTATTAGTCTTCCGTCAGTTGAAAGATGCTACTTCGGCAATCTTCTCAAGACAGTCTGTGCCAGAGATTGTGCATAATCTATTATTAATGCACTTTCATGGCTGTGATGTATGGCATGAAATTCTCAAATATCTCTGTTACATTTCACTGTATGAATGTGTATGCCTATAAATATCCCCCCTCCTACCACTATTGTTTGGGATTCTAGAGGAAAAAGGTTTCTCAGGCGTGTTCACAATATTTTGTTTAATTTCAGTTGTTTTGAACTTTCCCCTCTTGCTGCTACAGTGCAAGATCCTCTACAATCAAGAGTGCCACCACTTCATGCGCCATCTGCACAAATCTCTGCAGGAGGTGGACCGCCTTCCCATCAACATATTTCATTTAGTGGCAGAACACAAGGCACACCTGACACAGTAGAACTAGTAAGAACTTTACCTCAAAAATATCGACGGAAACCATTGTCAGTTGAAGAGATGGAATACATTCAAGTAAGTTCCAGGATGTTTTCTACTTGTTTCTTGTATTCATTTTATTAAAATGTTTCTGTGTTATCTTTCATCAAATCAAAGTATAAGCTGTCATCAATCAAAAGCCTTAGACAATAGATGAGAGAATAGCATTCAAACAGTTCCAGTAGCTTATTAGCCAGATAAAAAAGTTGGGGTTCCGGATTATGCATTCGATACTGAAAGCTCTGATAATGGAGTAGTCATTACTTGGCCTGTTAAAAAAATCAGGCATCAGATAACATACTTTTTAAGAGAAGGAATTATTCTTTATCTAAGGCTAACAGTTACCAGTGGAAGCACCAAGATTTATGTGGCAATAGTTTAAATATCTGGTAAGCAACAGCTGGTAAACAGATTCTCCCTTGACAGAAGAAAGG